TAAACGCGTGACGAAAATATGGAAATAATTCAAATTTTCTACATGACACCCACGTATTTCACGATTGTTGTCGCTCCGTTCTGTCCACCTATTTTAGCAAATGTCTCAAAATAGTGTTTTTCCACAACACTAGGATTGTATTGCTTTCTTCCATTGTCGTTTTGGCAGCCGTTTGGCAGACACGAACAAGGAAACCGGCCATAATCGACTTGACAGGCGATTCCACTTAAAATGCATTCACATGTTTGTGGGTAGCAAATATCACCGCAGCTACAACCACAAATGACGCGACTAAGTCTGAGCTGTGCGCAATCTTGTTCTTCTTTCTTTAGAATTCGCCGCACCCCTGACGTCTTCAGAATATTTTTTCTTGCTTTTTGGGAAACCGGTGACAAAGGCTTTTTGTCATTTTTATTCGCCTCCAGACCCAAATCCGCTCGTAAAATCTCGATGGAAATGTGTTTTCTTGCCATTCCAAGTGTCGATCCTCCGGTCGAAGGCACGGAAACAAAGCCCTGCTTTCTTGGGAAATAATACACTGTCACATCGCCAAATCGCACCATTTTGTTTTTAACTCGTTTACAATCATCGTCACTTTCGTCTCCGCTAGAACTACCAGTACTGTGCTTTCTCTTTCCCATGGTATAATCGGCAAAATTACACAACAGAGTTACAAGATGTACGACTGATCGAGTTTCGCACTCCCGTGTATTTATACTCTTTGGACTCTATTTTCACGATACACGTACAACACGCACGTCTTCCGGTGACGTCACAAGCTCGCAAAAAATGACGCTTTAACTGCGAAAAGCAATTTCATTGGTTTGTCTTGAAGGGGCATCGCTTTGTCTGAAATCATAGACGAAATATGCTGTCTTCTTCTTCACGCAAGTTTTAAGAGAGCGCTGCGTGACCGGATTCAATGAGCAACTGTGTGGGAGACTACAGGCCATAAACGGTCATAAATGTAAAAGAAAAAACGTAAATTGACGATGGACTTTTGTTATGCCTAGTTATCATTTAGAAACAATTTCCTCGTTGTATTACGTTCAGCTCGGCTAAATAGTAAAATTGGGCTCCTAACTTATCGTATTAAACGTTTCCGATGTGGCGTTTATTCGAGGGTGGCTTTTTCAAAAAATCACATTTTTTGAATCACTAACGACTGATAATTTTGCTTCCAAATGCGTAGTTTAATCATTAAATACAGTATTGAGTCGTAAACTTGAACTAGCTGAGAAATGATTCCAAGATAGTTTAATGACAGTTGTCCTATAAACTCATTTCTCTACTCAGGGAAAGAGAATCAATGCTGCACTATACAGTGACTGTACTTTCAGTTTGTCTATTTCCATTTAAATATTGCACTCCGCGTGAAAAAAAAAAACACGTAGACCTTCCTCAGTGATCTTCCTGGACAAAGTAGACCGGAGGACTCCTCTCAATTGAAAAAGACGGCAATGTTTGTCCAAAAATTAAACTGTCCTTAGCCTGCAGAAAAGACGCCATTTTTACGCGTTTTTCGAGCTACTAAAGCGCGAAGCGGGCGTGGAGGGCGAACACGCGCGACGGGGAAGAGTCCTCGCTTGCTTCGCGCTTGGATTCGCTCGCCTCAAAAAAAAATCGGAAAAAAAGACAACGACTTTTTTGCAGGCTGAATATCTCAGACCGACCTGCGCGGCAGGTGTCGATAGGGGAGGGGAAAGGCGAGGAGAGGCAGCTCGTGTGAATTCCTTTCAACTTGTTTTTTCCCTAGTTTGCGCCTGCCATGAGGCTAACTTAACACAGAATTTAATTCGTCTATTTACATGGCCATTTTACGCACAACTCTAAGTGATATACGTACGTAACAAAAAAATTGTTTTTCCTTCTAGGACACCCTCGATGAGATCAAAATCTGCAATTTCAATCCCTTATAAGAGTAATCGGCGTCTGCTCGAGATCAGAGAAGAGACGAACTGCAGGAGCCGAGTAATCGCCTCCTGCAAACAGTCATGTCAATCCCCAGGTCAGGGGCGAGCGGCGAAGCCGCGAGAAAGGAGGTCTTCAAGGAAGCACGTAATCGGTTTACCTACAATCGGGAATTTCCGTTTCACTGAAACGGAAATTCAAAACAATAAGACCTCCGCGGGCATTCTTTTTCCTCTCTCTGCCCTAATCTCTCCTCCTTTTTTTGCCATTAATTTGCATAACTTTACTTTTTCGCTCGCCGCGCGTGGCTCTGAGGAAAGAAGGACGACTGCTCGCGTTTTAAACAATCGACGTCATGTGACGCATGTGCCTTGGTTTTGCGGAACCATCGTCGATTTAGTTTGTGTCATTTTGGTGATCGCACTGTCCGTAAGGCGCCTAGAATAGAAATGAACGGTGATCGAGAAAAGGTGTTTTCCTTGAAAGGCTTTGCAAATCAAAGAGCTTATGTAAGTGATCAATCGTACTTGAGATACCAAAATTATATTTGTCACCACCGCCTTTTTTTCTTTTGTTCATACTTAAACTGATGCTGGAGGTTCGTGATTCAGTTGAAACAAGAGCCATTATGGCTCTTGGTTGAAAACATAGTAAATTAAATGAAGCGCAGTGATTTGGAAAAATACAGGATCAGCTACTGTTAAATTCATATGTATTCAATCTATTCTAAGAAGATTACTATCAGATAGGAGGAGGCGATGACATCACGCGCCAATAATATCTATTTAAAATTGATCGACGGTTAACTAAGTGGTTCTTTTTATTACTTTGTGTAGGAGTGTGCTCAATCTTGTAATTACCCCTTTTCATTTCAATAAAAATGTGATATCACTATATCAAAATGTCATCGTGCTTGTGGTTTCATAATTTTGATCACACCGATAAGTTCAAATCCATGCTAAGTATTATCAAAAAGTTGTTAAAAAGTATACTATCTATCACTAATCATCTCATGATTTTTTTTGTGTGTGTGGTTTTTTTTGTGTTGTTTTTTTTAAACGTGTTCTTTTTTGTTTTCGAAATAAAGGAAGTTAGCCAAAAGAGTCCCGGCGGGTTAAAGAGTGAGGAATGCGCCCGAACCAAGAAATTCCATTTTCCTCTTAGAAAAACCTTTTTTTGAAAATGTTTCCTTTTGTTTGCGGTACC